TATGTATGTATATAATATATATATATATATGAGAAAATGAGCGCACCATAGCTTGAAAGCATATCTGAAGACAAAATATGTGCAGTAAACGAGTGTGTTCTAACTAGCATTGTATTAGGGCAAACTATAAGCACACACTCTCTCACCTTCTTCCGACGTATGCCCAAAGAGATCATCCGGGAACGAGTACAGTCCCTCAGAAATCTGTTCCCCCATCGAAGGTCCTGTGATGTCGTCTGAGAAGGGCATATGGCCCGCTAACATGATATACACAATCACGCCTAAACTCCAACAGTCTACCCGGTTGGTGTAGCCTCCACGCGTCTTGCTATGCTTGCCGGCATCCATGATCTCCGGTGCCAAGTAGTTGGGTGTACCACATAGCGTCTATATATAACGATACGTGTATATCCAGGTTAGAGTGTTGTAGGATAGATGCGGAGACAGTATGGCCGACGGGCAGGTAAATGGATTGTGTGGCTCAAGGCAGTGTTAAAGTTAGAAATTTAAAGCCAGTTCAGGCACAGCGTGCCGTGCGCGTCTTTTCGCAGTCTGTGCGTGTAAGTGCAGATATCCGTCTAGTTCGACAGATATACGTGCATATGCGCGTGTGTACTTCCTATGCAAGCATACAGATGTCCACGGCATCGATTCGTACTCCATACTCGCGAGACAAACTCAGATGACACCTTCATGCTTCGGTCAACTAACAAACTCACCTGCATGAACGATGTTTCGCCCACGATCTTGGCCAAGCCAAAGTCAGTGATTTTCAACAGGAAGGTGCCTTCTACTTGGTACGGTAGCAGAAGAACATTCTCAGGTTTCATGTCGCGATGGGTTACGCCGTTCTTATGCAGATAGTCCAACCCCTAGATACCAGATATCACAAGTACAAAGATAAGAGCGAGGATTGACAGTATCGTACCTGCTATCACTGAGGGCAATTAACCCCTGTGAGGCATAACTGCCACAAGTGCAAATTAACAAATGGTGTAAATAATATTCCGAAACAAAAGCATCCGGGCCCTTTCAGAAACTAAATGGGTGACACGCAGTCTCTACCCTTAGCATTCATATAATAGTGCCTATACATCCGGAGTTAGTGTCTCTGGACGGAATGTCTCTGTACATAAGTATCCATTACATACTGAGATCAATTAGTGAAATTTAGACTTTAAAGCTAGCATCTAGTATATATGAGGTCCACATACATCATTCTAAATGTCTCAGAAATCTCTCTATACGTCAGCAAGTAAAAAAGCAATACATACTGGGTGATATCGGGAGACACTTAGACTTTACCTTTAGCATCTGATACGTGAAGTCCATGCTCTGCTTCTCGGAAAGCCTGCCCCTCTCGTGCACATACTCAAACAGCGCGCCTCCCGAGACAAGCTCAAGCATGATGTACAGATACTTCTCCGTCTCAAACATCTCTTCAATCTTAATCACACACGGATGATGCAAAGCGTGCAGAATCTCGGCTTCCTGTGTATGTGCGTATGGCGTGTGTAAAGTAGTTTGTATTTCATTAGTACCTGTGTGGGTGTGTGCTTTACAAGTACTATCCCGCCTCGAACATCTCTATTGTAATCAAAGACGATGATGAAGCGCATGCTGCATACCCGTTTCCTAGATCAGTCCTCAGTCGAGATCAGGTATTTAACAACCCAAAAGCATGGTTTAAGCAAGAAGAACGGTACACAGGAAAATACAGCAAAGCGTGTATAGCTTTCAAATCTCGAATGCCCCAACAGCGAGATAAACAAACACAACTCTTCCCTTTCTAAACCATAAGTTGCGGATATGTATGTACTTTAAACCCTCGGGGGCGTGATGTTACTAGACCAAATTTCTTCTCTCGGATACCTTTTTTATCGTAGCGCTGTTCATGGCCTGCAGACTCAGACGCTTCTTGTCCATGCACTTGGCGGCCACCTTGAGCCCCGTTGTTGCATGCACCGCCAGCCTCACTTCAGCAAAGTTGCCCGTGCCCAGAATTTTGTTTGTGATGGTGTACTCACCCTGCAATGACGGCAAAGTGAGTTGCGTAAGCTTGGAGTGGCCGGTTGTAGATAGAACACAGCATATATGATCACGTACTTATGCAGAGTGAGTTTATTAACCTGTCCGGGATGAGTACGCCCCTTACTGATACAAACTCTACGTATATGTACAAATCATGACTGCAAAGTAGTTCTTCCGCTGCTATGTGTGCCCCTTAGTAAGTGACGCACAAGGTATATATATACAACACGACAACAAAGCAAGACTTGACCTGTGGCAGGAAGTAGATTCTCACCGAGTATATACACCGAAGTATATACACCATAGATCAATTAGCCAACACGGAACTGTGCAGAACCCCATACCGTGTCTTTGTGTTGACCTTCATCGGCGGAACCTCGAGCCAAGTTTCTGAACAGGAACGCATTGACCACTGGTTTACCAATGAGTTTTTCTCCAGGTTCTGATAGTAGAGACGCATAATTTATAGTCAGAATACATAAAATCAGACTCCTTGCACATGCACGTTGTAGCTCGCCCATGGGCGTCGGGTACGTTTAGAAGACTAAAGATCTACTGATAAATAAATAAAAATAGTGCATAATCGATGACAGTATAGATGTTGCGTGATGTATAAGGCATACCTTGGGCCTTAGGCGCAGCTAGAGATCGCAACGGTAACGATATGATATCGCCGTCTTTTAGCAGCTTCTTATTACCCTTGCCAACTCTCTCGTTGTTCAGATACGTGCCGTTGGTGGATGTGTCACTCAGGAATACTATTACCCCGTATACTGCATCCATGTCGACACTACTGCCCTCTCGCACCACCTGCGCAGAGTAGGAAGTGTTGGCGTTAGGTACATACATTTGTATAGTTACACGCATGATTCTATATAGAATGTCAATCCATATCCTATTCCGATACGTGCTTTAGGTGAACATAATATTTAAGAATACAGTCACTAATATATTCACTTACATGCCGATTCATTCGCTGTTCAAGTACGCGTGACTAGTGGACAAATCATACAAAACAATGGAACCTCTCAAAACGCATCCATAGAAGTACTACGTCAATTGTACGACTTGCGTGGAGTATTATACGAACATAAGAGTACTGATATATATCCCTGCACCACGGGTCATATTTAGCTAAACACTCTAAATGGTCTCCAAGAGATAAGCCCTTGAACTAGAATACACTCACCGTCACACGAGTAGGTTCGGATGCAAATACCAAAGATGAAATTGAGGTGAGAACACGTGTAGAATATACGCAGACGGCCATAAATACAAAGTAGGGGTCACACATTACCTTTATATTGGCGTGCTGATTGCTAATTGTAGGTTTGGACAGCTTGATATCGCAGTTTGCATTGCGCCCAATGGTGTAGACATCGTTCACCAGGTCGATAGCTTTCAATTTCTCTCTCAATGGATCTAATCGCCCCCAAACCAGAGGTTCGTCCTTTTCACTGGACTAAATATGTGTGAAGGGCATATGCCGAGCATTTTATAAGAATAAGCGTTCTCGGATAAAACACAGGACAGCTACGGCGGAAACTTGCTGTACGTCAGAGTGAAACAGAAAGATATCCCTACCACACAGAAATGAAATCTATTGTATTGCACCAGCAAAAATCACACATACCACACACACGCGCGCATACACTCACACACGCACAAACACACACACATTTGATATATATATATATATATATATATATATGTGTGTGTGTGTGTGTGTGTGTGTGTGTGTGTGTGTGTGTACTATATATATAGTA